CTGGTGGTGGTGGCATTCAGTAAGCCAACTAGGGATGACTGAATGGGATGAGAAGGAAAGGAAGGTGGGCAGAGAATGGGTGCAGAGACATAAGGAACAGAGAGAGAGAGAGCACACTAAAAGAAAGTGCCCAGATGTCCACGCAATGCAGTCGACTAGGCCCCAAATGTAGTCAAAGAGAATAGGAAAGGGTAGGGGAGAGGTATAGGAAGAAACCCAGAAAGGACGGGGGAGGAGGAAAGTGCCCCAAGCGGGGAGGAGGGGGGCGAGGCAGCCGGCGGGAACACCATCGGCTCCTGAGGAACCCCACACTTGGCCTTGCAGCTGTTCTCACCTCAGCTGGCTGCTGGAGCAACCCCTGGCTCAGCAGCACGACCTCCCCCAGGGCAGCCTGCCCTCCGGTCATTCCCCTGCCACAGGCTGGCAGCCACCCACACCCAGCTCAGAGCACGCGGAGAGCCATCCATGCTGGGGCAGGGAGCTGAAAGGCAAGCAGAGAAGGGAAGGGGGTCTCTGTTCTCCAACATACATGGGCTGATGCACATGTAGGTGCAGGTACCCCTGCAAAGCCCAGTACCCAAACGTGTGCACCCACATGTCCAGCTCCATGTCCCTGTGCGTCCTTTGAACACCCCTGTCCGGACTACATGAGGCATCACTTGGACACAGCAAAGTTAGTCCACGCCGCCTCTTCCAGCAGCCCTAGCAGTTCCTGGACTTGGCTCGGCAAAGTCTTCCTTTTTGGTCCTTGAATTTGCTGCGTGGGATCTTTTGGCTGGGCTGCCTGGGCGGGGCCGAGCCTGCTGGGCTCCAGCAGCCTAAGCTCCAGCAGGTCTGGACCCTAACACTGCAAGTGGCACAGAGCCTCCAGCTGCCTCTGCAAACCTGGCTCTGCCCCTGTAGATGCCACCCTACGGGTCTGAGGTATAGGGGCTGTCTGTGTTTATAGTTGTGCACCTTGGGTGTGTCTGTGTGGCTCTGGGTGTCATGAGGCACCTAGCAAGATCAGAAGCTGGGTGTGCTAAGCCAAGTGACAGTTCTCCAGGCGTGGCATGAGGAAAAGTCCCTCACGTCTCCTTCGACTGCCCTCTTTTCCTATCCTTCACCAGCTCATATGCTCCCTCCTCCTTGGAGTCTCTCTGAGGCTGGGCTGGGGCCACCACAGCTCCTGGGCTGAAACTAAGCCTTTAGTGGATTTATTATCAATGATTTCATTCATATAGCAAACCTATACAACACAACACCCACTGTGGGGGACGGGCTACTAGGTGGCCCTCCACGATCTCTATCTCCCCGTGTCTGTGACTTTGTGAGATCTCTTTCCCAAGAATGTGGGCGGGACCCGTGACTTGCTTCTAATCAAATCAGGCATCGGGGTCTCTGTAGCCCCTGGAACATTGTTAGGTCCCCTCTTTCTCCAACATCTACAAGAATTTCCATCCTGAAAGACCATTCCCTGCCCCATCATTTAGGCCTTGGGGTAACAGCGATGTCCCCCAGCTACCAACCCATCACCGCAGCTCAAGCATGGGCCCTGGCAGGACCGGAGGGGCTTCTCGAGCTCCCTCTGCTGTACCACGCAGCACAGGATGCAAGGGGGCACGCTTCCTCCTGTCTTCTCAGAAAGGCGGGACCCTTCCTCTATCAGCCTAAATCACTAGCAGAATGCCTGGTACATAGTAGGGCCACCATCTACCACCAGTGGGTGTTTATTGATTGAAGAATAAAGGACTGATAAAATAACACAGGAACAAGGATGCTGTGCCTGTTTCCAGCAGAAAGACCATTTTGCCGGGAGCCAGGGGACTGAGAGTGTTGGCCTGCAGGTGATGCGTGAAGGAACCAGGAGAAGCCAGATTTCTCTGTAGATAGAAACACAAAGCTGGCTGTCCGGAGATGCTACCTACCTGAGCAAAGTTGGTACCCTTGGGGACCTGTGTGTCCTACCATGGTGGGAGAGAGGCTCTGTGGGGACTGAAGTGGCAGAGCTACATGCCCAAGGCTGCAGTTGAGAAAGAGCACCTTCCACGTCACCACCATCCCTCACCGGGTGAAAGCGGAGAGGGGAACAGGGAGCCTTCAGCTGGTTCGCCAGTACAGGTCTAAATTTGAAATAAGGTGACATTGGGCCCAGGGAAGGATCTCCATGGCAGGCAGCCCGAGAGCTGGGGAAAGCTTTCTCACCTATTTCTGGAGTGTCTGCCCTCCCCCCGCCCTCCCCCACCTCCTAACGCAGCACCTGCTGCGCCCTGATACCTGTAAGTTCTTCCACCAAAGGACAAAACCTACCAGCGCACACTGAAGAACTTGGCATTGAGTGAAACATCCCAGGGAGAGGTAATGAAGGGAAGCAAGTTCTCCTGAAGTTCCGAGTGACAGTGCCCGTGCATCCTTACCTGTGCTTAGCTCTGGTGGGCAGAGGCGGGGAGCTTGGGAAGGGTGGAGTCAGCCACTGGGGGCAACCAAGGCGTGGAAGGGCAGAACACCTTTCCTTCCGCTCCCTTGGGACTGGAGTCACCCACCCTGCAGTGCTGGGGACAGAAGCAGTGGAGGTGGTGCCCTCAGCCAGCCCCGACACCCCACTAACTAGAGAGAAGACAAGGGCTTCCCCGTCCTTCATGCCAGTTTCTCTCAGCAAAAGGAATAAAACGGCTCACTTATTTTTATCGCCCACAGATTTCTTGGGAAATGGGCCATTAGTTCCCCTAATGTAAAGATAATAGGCTCGTCCCCCTTGGCAAATGGCACAGCCCCAGCACAAACATGCTCCCAGAACCTTCAGAAAGTCTCTTCTGTGGAGGATGGAGGATGGAGGACCCGCCTGGGAGCGGGAGCGGAACCGGAGAGGAACCAAGGAGCAGGCTGGTGGCAGCCACCCCATGCTGAGTCTCCCCTCAGTGCCCCCAGGGAGAGGTCACACGTGACATAGCTCACACCCTCAGAGACCCGACTTCCCTCTCCTCTTGGCCGGTGGGGCAGAGGCTGGGGCATCGGTGGAGGAGATGCTCATTGGCCGAATGAGGGTCTCTCTGCTACAAAGCAGGCTCACGGAGCCAGAGACCTGGTTTTGGGGGGCTCTCCCGGCCATGCCACTGCCCCCTCAGAAGACGTCACTGTGGATTGTGCAGTCTTCATGACTATAACCCTCACAAACATCTGGCGGAGGGAAGTAGATGCTGTTAGCATTGCCTGGCTGGTAATCACCGGCTGATGAATACAATGTGAACACTCGGGTTAACTCATGCTCACCCTCCCACGCTCGTTTTACATGGGGGGTCCTCCTCTCCCTCCCGCCCTCACACAGGGACTGAGACAGTGCCTGGCATCATGAGACAATTAACCCTTAGACAGCACAGAGTTTAGGGGTACCGACGCCCTCCCCCTACCCGGCCCCACATGGTCAAAAAATCCACATAAAACTTTTGACTCCCCCAAAACTTAACTACTAACAGGCAAATATTGACCGGAAGCCTTACCAATAACATAAACAGTCGATTAACCCATATTTTGTATGTTATGTATACTATATACCTTATTCTTGCAGTAACGTGAGAGGAAAGAAAATGTTAAGAAAATCCTAAGGAAGAGAAAATACATTTACAGTGCTCTACTGTATTTATCGAAAAATGTCCACCTAGAAGTGGACCCACACAGTCAGACCCATGTGGTTCAAGGCTGAACTGATGAGTGATGTCCCTCTAACAGGGGAAATCACAAGCATGAGACAGGCAGAGTAAGTTAGCCAAAGTCACACAACAAGCCCATGGCTGAGCTAGGACTCGAATCAGCAGCGGGGCTCCCAGGCCAAGGACAGAAGGCTTCCAGGGAAGCGGGCCCTGCATGTACTTTTCAGGACCTCGTCCTTCATCCCCCCTCCGTCTCCATCACAGGACAGAGTGACTGTAGTAACAGCACCTCAGGGACTTGGGAGCACAGGCTCTTAGGGAGCTCCCTGCCCCCTCACACACAGGGTGCAGGTTCCTCAGCCCTGGGAAGGACCACTTTCTCCACCAGAACAAAAAGCCTGGCACCCCTGTGGCCTGCGAGACAGGCCCCCCGTGGGAGCCGGGCGCCCTGCGAGGTGGCGGCTTCGCCTGGGTATCTACCTAATCACACGGGCTACACTGTTTTCTGTCGCTGCCTTACTTGTCACATTTCTGCCCTGTCTCTCCATCCAGGCCACAAGCTCTCTGGGGGCAGGGACGCCGACGGGTACCATTCTTGGTCCCGGGGAGCCTGGGCAGTGCTGGGCAGGGAAGCGGGGCTCAGGGACACCTGCCAATTGACTAGACTTGGGGCAGGGGGTGAGGCAGGGATCTGTCACACAGACCACAGGGTGGAAGTGTGCAAACCACCTTTTCTGCCCCAAGCTTCAGTTTCTGGCTATTTTTGGTCTGTGTGTGTCTCCCTAAGAATCCAGGCCTGATGCACAGTAGGTGCTCTCCTCCCACCCCTGCCTCTCCGAGCCCCGCCGCTTGAGCTGTGCAAGCACAAGCAGACAGCAGGGGCAGCCTCACGCAGAGGTCAAGGGGCAGCTACCCGCCATTCCTCGCCTCTTGGCTGTCAGACATCTCGAGGGTAGGTGGCACGGCCCAGGGACGGACAGAAATGAACTCATATTATCTGTCTCACTGTCCCAAAGGAGGAAGGGGGTCTGTCTAGAGCCACAGAGACTCTGGGCAGAAGGTTTGCTGACAGCCTGGGAGGTTGCCCAGGAGGGGCTGTCCAGCCCAGGTGGGGGTGTCCAGCCCAGGGGGGTGAAGCTGCCTTTGACTACCCCTTTTGGACCATCCGCGGGGTGATCAAAACCCCTTCAAGGATGGTAATGGGGTGCAATCACACTATGTTTCAGAGGGGATACCAGAGGCCCAAGAGAGGACAGACGGGTCCACAATCCTTCCGGCTGCTCTGAAGTTTCAAAAAGGGGTAAGGATGCACCTGCCCCCACAGGAGCGAGTGGGGAGTCACCGGGGGCCAGAGAAGGATGAGGCCAGGCGAAGTTGAGCATGCAAACTCAAAGTAGGATAGGCCAGTTTACTGATCAGCCTTCCCCTCCTCCTCTTCCTCCTCTTCCTCGTCTTGGGGCTCCGAGGTCTCAGCCTCAGGCCCCTCCTCCCCCGTGGGCTCCACTAAGGGCACCTCTATCAGGAGGTCCTGCACCAGCTGCTCCAGGGCCCCCAGGCTTATCCTCTGCAGGCGCTCCTGGTGCTCCTGCCTCAGCAGCTGCAGCACTGCCTTGGTGTCGTGGGGCGCAAAGTGTTTGGCTAGGACCAGGCCCAGACGGTGCCACAACGGCTGGGGCTGGCCGGCCTCCGCAGCCTCTGTCTTCGCCAAGGGCCGCATGATGACATTGATGGAGGCATTGGGCCCGATGCAGTAGTCGGAGAGACACTTGTCATCAGCCAGACGCTGGCCTCGGAAGAGCAGGTACTGCTGCTCCTCGGGCACCTGCAGTCGCTCTGACACCAGCTTCTTCAGCATGGCCACACTCTCTTGCCCTGACACCTTCAGGCTGCATCTCCGGCCCAGGAGCAGCTTGACTGTGAGAATCATCGGGCCAAGAAGAGAATCAGGAGGGATCCATGCTTCGCCGCTGCCCTGCGGGTTAAGGGCCAGTGCAGGAGAAGGTGGCTTCTCCCTATCCCTGGAGGGCGGTGGTCCCAGGAAGCCAGGGGCCAGCCCCCCATGGGCAGCCATTGGCTAATGCTCTGTGATGTCACAATGCGGCAGGAGGGCTCATTTTGAGAGCAGGACTCTGGGGAAATCAGAGGGACATTTTGGGCACAGGACATCCTTCCTCCATAAAGGGAGAAAGGAGCGTAGGTTAAGGAGCAGGAGGGTCCAAAAGGAGAGGGTAGCAGAAGGAAATACGTCCTCGTTGACTCATTCAACACTACGTATTGGGTGCCTTCTTTGCCAGGACCTGTCCCCAAGGAGAGATGGGATCACAGTGGATACTTTCTGCCCTCATGAAGCTTTCAATCTAGCGGCTAACATTTATTTATCAAGTGTCTTCTTTCTGGCAAGCACTTGACACGCTCTCTCGGATTGGCGTTCCCAGAAGCAGACCCGGGGACAGGGATTCCGGGGCACCTGCTGAGTTGGGGGGGTGACCCTGGGAAGCGGCAGTAGGAGGTGAGGAGGTGAGGCAAGGCAGCGAGGGAAGCCAAACTGCAGAAATGAGCAGGTGGCCCTCGTGAGTAACCAGGGAGGCTGCAATCCTGCCGCATGCCCCGGAAGGTTCGTAGTAGACCCCTGAGTTGTACCACCTGAGGAGCCAAGACACTAGATCTGTGTGCTTGGGCTCCCGCCCTTGGCTAGTGGGGGTGCTAACCTCTTGGCTGCGTGGCCTGCACAGGTGCAGAGCATGCTTCTGTGACCAGAGAAAACCAGTGGGCAGAGATTTGCAGGCGTTGGCAAGTGGGGGGCCTCAGGTGTTGGGGAGCGGGAGTGCAGAGAGGATGGAGCGGGTTCCCCGGCCGTGTCCGCTGCCCGGGCCCTGCCCTGCCGACTCCTCACCACCTCAGAGGCACTACTGCAATGTTCTCCGTTTGCAGAGGACAGACCACGGAGCTCGGCTCACCCACACGGCAAGCAGCAGCAGAGCTGCGTCTTCACCGTTAGCGCGTGTGGCCTCCTGAACCATCTGCTCAGGGTGTCCGGGGTGCTGGGCACTCGGAGACACCCGGGGCTCCGCAGCGAATAGGGAACACGCGTGGGGCCTCTGCCTCTGCCCGTCAGCTCCTTCTGCTGGGTTCAGTTTTCTGTGCCACTTGTTAAAGGTCTCCCGGGTCAAGCCCTTTCTATATGCTGGCACATTTAAGCCTGCGAGGAAGGTATCATGATGCATTTTAGAGATGAGTGAGTGTGGGGGCGCCTGGGTGGCTCAGTTGGTTAAGCGACTGCCTTCGGCTTAAGGTCATGATCCCAGGGTCCTGGGATCGAGCCCCGCATCGGGCTCTCTGCTCGGCAGGAAGCCTGCTTCTCCCTCTCCCACTCCCCCTGCTTGTGTTCCCTCTCTCGCTGTCTCTCTCTCAATTAAATAAATAAAATCTTTAAAAAAAAAAAAAAAAGAAATGAGCGAGTGTGAAGAAAGCCTGGCTGACTTCCCCACCGGTAGGGGGGTTTCACCCGGGAGCCCCTCGCGGCTCCCCAACTCTCCCCCTTCTCCGTGCTCCACGGCTGTGCTCGGCTCCCTCCTCCTGTCTCCTCCCTCCAGCCTGGGCGACACTTGAACACTGGTTCAAAACCACCTCCGCCAGGCGGCCAACACCCTTGGACTTTTCAGAACTTGCCCTGGCACAGCACCCAGCCCGGATCCCCTGCCCAGGGTCACTCCAACCCCCACCCCTCTCTTCAGGCCCTGGTAGCCTCCAGCCAGGTTCTCACCCACGGCATCGACCCAAATTCTAGTCCATAGGGAAACCAAGCCCACCGGTCAGGAAGCCCCTGACATCTTGCCCTTTCCCACCAACCAGAGTGCTGCCCCATCCCCTCCTCCTCCTCCCCCTTACCAAACGAGCCTTCTCTCATGATTTCGATTCTTCTTCAGAAATGTTTCCAAAATCCACCCTTTGTCTGCATCTCCGCTGACCCCAAGCCAGTCCAGGCTCTCACCTTTCTCCAGCCTGTGGCTCAGGATTCATAGTTGATCTCTGTCCAGTCCCACCCCCTTGGGTCCATTCACACTGCAGCCAAGGGAGTCTTCCTAAATAAAAGTGAGGCCAAGTCCCTCCTCTGCATTAACACCATCCAGTTTAATCCTTTTAGCCTTTGAAACTAAAATCAGCCTCCTTAGCCCGGCACCCAAAGGCACCATGGCCCTGCCCCGCTTGCCTCCCGAACCTCGTTTCTTCCCCACACTGCATCCTCCACGCCAGCCAACCTCCGGCCCTTCCCTCTACTTGCTTGTCCCATGTGAAGTCTTCGAGGCTGGTTAAAAACCACCTCCTCCGTGAAGCTTTCTCTGCTTTCCGCAGGCTTGGGAGGGGCAGTCCCACCCTCCCTCTGTGCATCTGTTAATGCCCTGGAGACATATGCACCTAGCATAGGTCTGTGTCTCCCTCCCCGACCATCGACCATTGGAGGGAGGGAGTCTTACCAGTCCTTGAAACCCCTACCACCAACACAGAGCCCAGTACAGAGGAGGCTTCAAATACACGTCTGTTGAATGAAGATAAAATTTAAACCTGCTGAGCTAGGCAGGAGGATGCAGGAGCCAGTATGACAAGCTGTGAAAAGATAAAAACCTGCCTGCAGCCTCTCCCTTGCCCCTCCCTCTTCCCCTAGAGAGATGAAAATCCAAAATTACACAAAAAATAAATCAGAAAACGATTCTAATCTTTACCAAAGGATCTTCTATCGTATTCTTTAAATAGTCAACTCCCTTGGTGCATTTGAAATAAGAGAGAATTTGCAAATGTGCATATAGCGTGTGGGGTCCCCGTGGACTCCACGATGTCAGGGCATCTACTCAGAGAGAGCAGCACGTGGATGAGGCTTCTCCCTGGACAACTGGAAGTTCCCAGCCTCCGGAGGGGAGGACTCTGTGGTGGATAAACCATGGGATGGACAGTATTCGGGGCATACCATGTGAGATGCGCAGAGCAGAGGTAATCCAAGAAGGCTTCCTGGAGGGGGCCAAGTTTGAGTTGCCTTCGGCAGGATACAAAGGAAGGTGAGATGGCCTGCAATCTCTCTCCTGGCTCTGGGTCCTTCTGAAGAAAGTGGTAGGAAGCAGAGTTCTGAGCATGGAGGGAAGTAAGAACAAGGCATCCACCTCTAGGCCCTCCTCCTCAGACCATCTACCCAGTGGGGTGCTGCCCAGGACACTGGCAGGGCTGGGGAAGGGCCTGGCTTCTAGAAGCATGTGAGAGCCCCATCTCAGGCTCCATCTCGCCAAGGCTACTTGGTGCCCCTGTGACAGGGGTTTTTGAGGGCCACAGCTGCTGATCATGCTTTTCAAACCTGGCTCCCTGGTCTAGAGAGCCCCATGTTCCTAACAGGCCATGAGGACAGAAGCGACAGAATTGGGGGTGTCCCAGGAAACTGAGAAAGATGATCACCACTTGACCCCTGCCCCCGTGCCTGGAGCTCGCATTGCCTTCCCCACGGGGGACGATGGGGGCACCTTGCTGGGCCCTCAAATCGTATTTGGAACCTGGAAAGTTCGTAATTTTTCCCATGCAATTGCTTGTCTTCATTACACAATTAGCATGAGAAAATGTAATCGTGTCTTCAGAGCATGCAATCAGACAACGATTGCCATAATTGGGGGGAAGGCTAGCAGGAAACGACTGGGTTCTGTGACGAGCAGAAGGAATGAACACGGGCTGAGAGAGCACCAGACAGCGGTGGGCTTGGGTGCCCTCTCGCAAACCACAACACATGTGATTGTGTCACCAGAAAACAAGTGCAATGTCTGTGTTGGGGGCGGGGTCTGGGGACAGGCCTGTGAATGCCAAGGTACCCTCAGGGCCCTGGCAATGCTCCTAAGCAAACTGACGACATCGGTCTGCTGAGGCCGTGAACTCCCTAAACTAATCGCCATGTGTCCGGCTGCCAGCCTGGGGCCTGCCTGAAGCAAGCGTCCTCCTTGAACTTCATTTGCCTGCTCTGTCTCATGGGGGTCTGAGCCCTGCTCAGCCGCCCCGGCAGGTCATGCCCCCAGGCCCCAGCACAGCGCCTGATCCATGAAAGCATTCAGTACCTGCATTGATATAAACTAATCAATGTAAACGTGAGCTCTGTCACCCCCAGCTGTCAGGGAAGGCCCCATCATGCCCAGAAACGGGCCCAAACGGGATCCCCAGGCGCGCGCCCCCGGAGGGAGCTTTCACTGCGCACACAGGTAGGTGGGCCATGCATGGCCGGCCCAGGGGAAGAAGGCCCAAGATGCTTCTGGACAGCTGGGGGTGGCTCTGGGCTGTGGGGAGAGCACAACCCCTCCTTGGGGTTGCACAAGAGGCTCATCGAAAAGATAGGCATGGGGCATCTCGGTGGCTCAGTCATTAAGCGGCTGCCTTCGGCTCAGGTCATGATCCCAGGGTCCTGGGATCGAGCCTCGCATGGGGCTCCCTGCTCAGCGGGAAGCCTGCTTCTCCCTCTCCCACACCCCCTGCCACTGGCAGAGGGGCTGAGAGCCTGGAGTCATGATGGTTCTGGGCCCCCTGCGGCCTCCAGCCCCCCGCCATCCCCACCACACCGCAGCGGCTGCTGGGCACCAGTGAGGCCCACACTCCGCAGGACGCTCTCCGAGACCTTGGAAGAGAGAGTGCTGACTACCAGACAGGGCAAGGGGGGACACTGGCAGGTGTCCTCAGGCCCACCGCTGTGCTGCCGGGGACCCCACTCAGCCCATGCCACCTCCTGTAGCTGTCACCAGGGCCCCTTGCCCCTTCCAGGAGGGGTCTCTCAGGCGGCTCTGTGCTCAGGCAGGCCTAGCCCAGGACAGAAGAGGCAGCTCTTCAGGCAGCCCCTACCCCCCGCTGCCCTCTGCGGCATCTGGCACATAGTAGGTGCTTGGTAGCTACATGAGGCCCATTGCCCACGCCTCATCCACTGGCTGGCACTGGCCGCCTCAGCAGCTGCACGAAAGTGGGTCTGCGGCTGTTCCAGGGGGAACCCCAAGGTCCCCCTGACAGGTCTTAGGGAGCT